CGGTTCTTACATGTTCTCACAACAAATTTTAACATCTAGATAGGCCAGATCAAGAAGTAAATGAAGTACATGGAATTAAATCATCACAACTTCAACATTAAAGACTAATACTCTCCACAACTTTCATCCAACATTTTAATTACTTATCATTTTAAGGAGGAAAATAAAGAAAACTACTCAAAATCTATGGAGAAAACAAAACCACACTTTAGTTTAAAAGTAGAAATCATTGTCAAACCAACAAGTAGTCTGGATTAAAACCAAAAGTAGTTCAAAAACAAAGATAAAAACTTATCTCAAATCCTCCACCAGACTCTTGAAGTTCCTTTAAATTTCTTTTCTCTTACAACACTCTTAACTCTCACAATAGAAATAATAAAAAAAAGGATAAAGTAAATTTGTGGTGCCTGAAAATCTCTCCAAACATTCCTCCACGAACTTCTTCAAGAACTTCTTAAGACTCCCCATTTTCAAGCACACTTCTAAAAGTCTCATCTTCCTTCTTTTATAAATTTCCAAGAGGTGTCTTGGTAACTCTTCAAAATGTGTCTCAATTCGATGTATTCTCCAAATGATGCCTCCTTTCACAAGTCTTTTAATCATATTTTTGTTTCTAGTTGTCATAACCACCTTCTTTAGCCAATGGGTGAATTAAACCGTCAAATAACTGTCTCTTGTGCTTAAGCGTCAAATAAGATGAATTAAACTGTCAAATAACTGCCTCTGGCGCTTAAGCGTGGGACCTCTGGCGCTTAGACGCAGACTTCTCTATTTCACCAGCGCTTAGGCGCAAAAACACTTTTGCACTATTTTTATATTTTTGCTCCAAATTTGATCATTTTTCACTCCTTTCAGCATTATTCACCTTTTTACTTGTACTGAAACAAAAACACACAAATATCTTTCATTAAAGCGCAATATCTCAAAAATAGGTATAAAAATGTGTCTAAAACAATATATATTTTAGGTGTATCAGTGAGCTTAGTTGACTTGTTGTTATGGGCCTTAAGGACCCATGGATCTTACCCATGAGCAAGCCTTCCCTAAATACATATGACCGTATTTTGGATATACATTTAGCTTCTCGATTTTCTTAACTTTTCGGTTAGGGATTGCGAGAAGAATGAGAGAATGAAGATTTTCAATTTCACATTACTACAAAATTATTCATCTCTTGTCGTCATTTACAAATTAGTTTAAAAGATCTTCAAAGCACAAATGCAATATGATTCATAAATAGATTTTCCTTGACCTAGGGGCACTCTGACTACATCTACGAGGAATTAGGCTGTCTTACACTTATCTTCGTGCTAGGACTGACTTTTGCCTAAGACCACTATGTGCTACACATGTAGGGATTAGTCTATCAAGCTTTCAGACGAGTGCGATCAACTTGTTCTTGTGAGCCTTGGCTTTTCTATAGGAAGGCGTTTATTATGAATCTTTAGTTATGTTCATTGAGACTTGATG